TTTTATGATCGTCCGTGCGCCAGCGCCACTCAAGGCGAGGGCACGCATTCGGACGCACGCATGGCACGCCACACGCTCTTCACGCCCGATATTCCGCCGCCCGGCGGCTCGCTCGTCATCGAGGGCGAAGAAGCGAAGCACGCCGTGCGCGTCAAGCGTATCACGGAAGGCGACCTCGTCACCCTCACCGACGGCCAGGGACGCGTCGCGCAGGCCGAAGCCACGGACACACGACGCAGGCTCGCCCTCACAATCCGTACAACCGATACCGTCGACCCAACCCGGCCCTCCGTCCGCGTCCTCACCGCCACGCCCAAGGGCCCCCGCCTCGAGAAGATGATCGACACGCTCTCTCAGGTCGGCGCCGCCTCCTGGGCCCCCATGGGCACGAAACTGGGCGTCGTCGACCCCGGCGCCAACAAAATGGAGCGCACCCGGCGCGTCGCCCTCGAATCCGCCAAGCAGTGCGGACGGGCGTGGGTCATGGAGATCGAGAAGAAAACGGACTTCGCCGCCGCCATCCAGAAGGCCGCCGGCGCGCGCCTCGTCCTCGCGGACGGCGCGGGCGAGCCCTACGAGCCGAACGGCGCCGACCGCGTCATCCTCCTCATCGGACCCGAGGGCGGCTTCACGCCCGACGAGATCGACCTCGCGAAGCGCGCCGGCGCGAGCGCCTGCGCCTTCGGCGTCCACACCATGCGCATCGAAACCGCAGCCCCCGTCGCCTGCGCATGTATCATCGAACACGAAATGCGCGCATTCGCGCGATAGCAATTTTTTATTCCACACAAAGGGGGCGCACCATGCGCACGCTCACCGCCGCTCTGCTGACCGGGACCCTCTCGATCGCATCCCTCGCCCACGCGCAGGCCGCGCGCGTCGACAAGGCGCACTACGACGCCGCGCAGAAGATGATCGACGACGGCATCGCCTTCCTCCGCACACAACAAGACGACGCGACCGGCGGCTGGAACGTCCAGCAGTCCGGCCCCGCCATCCCGGGCATCACCGGCATCGTCCTCACCGCCATCCTGGGCGACCCGTCCAACGCCGCCGCCGACCCCGACGTCGCGCGAGGCGTCGAGTTCATCGAAACATTCGTCAAGCCCGACGGCGGGATCTACGACGGCGTCCTCCCCAACTACAACACCGCCATGTGCCTCAGCGCCCTCGCCATCGCGCAGGCGCCCGGCACCGAAGACACCATCGAGAACGCGAAGAACTTCCTCATCTCCCTCCAGTGGTCCGAGGATTCCAAAGCGCTCGACGGCGAGCCCGCCGGCGTCGAGAAGTCCCACGCCTACTACGGCGGCGTCGGCTACGGCAAGCACGGCCGACCCGACGGCTCCAACCTCCACTTCTTCCTCACCGCCCTCGAGGACGCCGGCGTCGACTGCAACGACGAATCCGTCCAGCGCGCCCTCGTCTACCTCCAGCGCCTCCAGATGGAAGACTCCGTCAACGACATGCCCTACGCCGACGGCTCGAGCCAGGGCGGGTTCATCTACGCCACGAGCGAGAACAAGGACACCGTCGGCCAGGGCGAATCCAAAGCCGGCACGATCGAAGAAACCCTCGACGACGGCACGGTCATCTCCCGCCTCCGCGCCTACGGCTCCATGACCTACGCCGGGTTTAAGAGCTACGCCTACGCCCAGCTCGAGCCCGACGACCCCCGCGTCACCGCCGCGCGCGAGTGGATCGCCGACCACTACACCCTCGAAGAGAACCCCGGCGTCGGCGACCAGGGCCGCTACTACTACTACCTCACCTTCGCCAAGGCCCTCGACGCCTGGGGCGAGCCCACCGTCCGCGTCAACGACAACGGCGAAGCCAGAGACGCGCGCTGGGCCGAGGAGCTCATCGACACCCTCGCCGAGCTCCAGAACGACGACGGCTCATTCAAAAGCGTCCACGCCCGCTGGATGGAAAACGACCCCGTCCTCATCACCAGCTACGCCGTCATCGCCCTCCAGAAAGCGATCGACTGAGCAATTGCTATAGCAGCCGCGAGCGGAAGCGAGCGGACCAAAGGTCGCCCTCCAACCAGCCCATCACCGCATCCTGAACACCATTCCCCACCCTCTCCCCCCGCGGGAGAGGGTGGTTTTCTTGCGCCAGCAGACAACCGGGTGAGGGGCCAATTCAAACCGCCGCGAAGCGGCGCTCCTCTACTTCACCAACCCCGCCACCACCCGCATCAACGCCAGATGATGATCGTCGTGATCCGCGAAGAACACGCACGTATCAACAAGCCGCTTCTGCACCCCCAACCGCGCGTGCCACGCGCTCCGCCCGAACATATCCGGCGCGTACGCATCGAGCCGCCCCATCGTCCCCGCGCGCGCCGCGCGGAACCCCGCGAGTACCTCCCCGACCGCGCGCGCATCGTGGTCCGTCTCCACCGTCCGCGCGTTGGACATGTCCGCCGCCGGCAACTCCGGATCGTGACGCTCGTACGCGTCAAGACGGTCGTGCATGAGCCGCTCGAGGTCCGCCAGGTGCCCGACGTGCCGCTTGATCGACCACCCGCCATCCGGCACGAACGACACCGCCCCCTCATCGAGCCCGCCCACGAACTCCTCCACCCGCGCCGGCGTCCCGCGAAGCCGCTCCAGAACCGCCGGGTACAGCTCCGCCGGACCCGTGAAGGTCCAGCGACGGAACAGCCAAGGCGTCAACACCTGATCCTTCATCGCGGTCACCTCCCCCAAAGCCTACCGCGACATTCAGCACAAGCGGTAACAACCGCGAACGGCAATGAGCGGGCCCCTGCGCGACCACCCCCACAGCACATCACCCCCATCCTGAACAGCGTCCGCCCCTCCATCGCACCGGCTCTCATCAACAACGACAGCGGAGCCCCGCTCCCCTCCAAGGGTTCGAGGCTCCGCCGCCCGGATCGATCTCTCTCTCGTCAACCGCTCACCGACGCCGGCGCACCGCCGCGATCCCCGCGAGGCCCGCCAGCGCAGCGCCCGAGGGCGTCGGGACCAGGGTGTACCCGTACGAGAGCGTCAGCGTCCCGATGATCGACTCGCTCACGATCTCCGTCGAGATCCCCGACGCGCCGGGGAACCCGAGCGTCGGCTGGCTGGTGAAGATGTCCGTGAACGGCCCGAAGACCGAGGTCAGCGGGCCGCCTTGCGTGAAGACGTCGAACAGCGATTCGTCCGCGTCGATCGTCGAGTTCACGAACCCGCTCCCGCTGAGCAGGAACGTGTCCTCCCCGCCGCCGGGGATGCCGTCGCTCGCCGCGAGCGGCGCCGTGACCGCGCCGAAGTCCAGCCCGCCGAGCCCGAAGAACGCCTCGTTCCCCTTGCCCGGGCCGTTCACCTGGAAGAGAGTGCCGATCGTCACGAACGCGAACCAGTCCTCCGTTGAATAGTCCACGCCGTCGTTGTTCACGAACGCGATCTGCGAGGTGAACTCCGCCGACATCGAGACGGTCACCACCTCGAGCCTCCGTGTCCCGCCCCGGTCGTCGAACGCGTCGAACGTCGGCATCGGCAGCTCGCCCTCGCCGAACACGTAGCTCACGCTCGCGCTCGTCGTCTGCACCCCGTCGAACCCACCGAACGCCGCGCCGGCGCAGAGGACAACCCCCGCGCCACAGAATGCCATGCGCACCATGGAAAGCTCTCTTCTCTCGCCCGATTGACCGATCTGACTCCCGGGCCGCGCGGGCGGAACGCACCCGAAACCGGGTCCCGCCGACACGGACGCGACCCGGAAGGCACCATTGACGCGCGAGAAAAGACTCCGGTTTCCGACCGACGCAAGAAATTCTTGTCCGCGCCCGAACGGCGCACAAAAAACGGCGCCGGTGAGGACGCCGTTCGGGAGACGCGTTCAACAGCGACGCGTCACCGCCGGCGACGCGCCAGGCCCAAGCCCGCCACGCCCGCGAGCACCACGCCCGACGGCGCGGGGATCACGCTGTACCCGTACTCGATGCTGAGCGTGCCCGAGAGCGACTGCTGCGTCACGTCCACGCTGATCCCCGAGACCGGGAACGGGAAGCCCAGCCCCGGCCCCCCCGGCCCCCCCGCCCCCCCCGGCCCCCCGGGCCCCCCCGGACCACCGCCGCCGTCCGGCTGCGTCACGAGGATGTCGTTGAACGGGCCGAAGACGCTCGTCAGCGCGCCGTCCTGCATGAACACGTCGAACAGCTCGGCGTTCACGTCCAGCACCGAGTTGATCGTGTTCGAGTCGCTCACCACGATCTGGTCCTCGCCCGAGCCGCTCACGCCGTCGTCGGCGCCGATCGGGCCGGTGATCGTGCCCAGGCTGATCCCGCCGAGCCCGAAGAACGCCCCGCCGCCCTCCTCCTCGCCGCCGCCGTCGCCGGGCCCATCGATCGAGAAGAGCGTGTTGAAGCTCACCTCCGCCGACCAGTCCCCGTCCGAGTAGCCCGTATCGTCGTTGTTCTGCACGAGCACCTCGATCGACAGCGCCGCGTCGAGCAGGATCGTCACGCTCTCGAGCCGGCGCGTCCCGCCCATGTCGTCGAACGCGTCGAACATCGGCATCGGCAGACCCTCGTCGCCGAACATGGAGCTCACGCTCGCGCTGGTGGACTGCGTCCCGTCGATCCCCGCGGAGGCGCCGGCGGCCACAAGCGCGACCATCGCCGCGCCGGTCAACATCTTCGTCATTGTGAATTCACTCTCTCTCGCCCACGCCGGACACACGAACGCCGCGGGGCACGCGCGCGGGCGGACCGCAAACCCCGGACCGGAGCGCGACACAAAGACGCCCCGTAGAACAAGGACTGACGCACAATCGCGCCGCGCGCCCACTCAAACCCGCGATTTTCACCGATTGACAAAAAAGAGTCCCATCCCACCGCCAGCACATCCACGACGTCGTGCCGACTGCCGACTACCCACTGCTCCCATTGCCCATTGCCCATTGGCCATTGCCCTCCCCACTACAATCCCCCCATGCACCCCGCCGCCTTCCACCGCCTCTTCCCCGACCGCAAACCGATCATCGCCATGATCCACGTCCCCGCCCTCCCCGGGACGCCCGCGAGCGACCTCTCCCCCGGCGCCATCGTCTCGGAAATCGAGGACCAGGCCCGCCTCTACGAGCAGCTCGGCTTCGACGCCGTGATGATCGAGAACATGCACGACACGCCCTACCTGCGGCGCAACGTCGGCCCCGAGATCACCGCGATGATGGCCGTCTGCGCGCGCGCCGCGACGGAAACGGTCGACATCCCCGTCGGCGTGCAGATCCTCGCCGGCGCGAACCGCGCCGCCCTCGCGGCTGCCCACGCCGGCGGCGCGAGCTTCGTCCGCGCCGAGGGCTTCGCGTTCGCGAGCGTCGCGGACGAGGGCCTCCTCGACGAGGCCGACGCCGGCCCTCTCCTCCGCCACCGCGCCGCCATCGGCGCCGAGGACATCCTCATCTTCGCGGACATCAAGAAGAAACACTCGTCCCACGCCATCACGGCCGACCTCGACCTCGCCGAGACCGCCAAAGCCTGCGCCTTCATGCGCGCCGACGGCCTCATCATCACGGGCAGCGCGACGGGCGAGGAGACCTCAACCGAAGACCTCCAGCAGGTCGCGCACGTCACCGACCTCCCCATCCTCGTCGGATCCGGCGCGCACGAGGGCAACATCAAGCGCATGCTCGAGCTCGCCACGGGCGTCATCGTCGGCTCGTCGATCAAGGCGCAGGGCCACTGGTCCAACGAGCCCGACCCCGCGCGATGCGAGGCGCTGCTCAAGGCCGCGGGACGATGACCGAGCCCCCCACCCCGCCTCCCCCGGACGACCTCCCCGACCGCGACATCACCCTCAACCTCCCCGAGCCCTTCGGCGCGCCGGACAACGGAGACATCATCACCATCGTCACCGGCCTCCCGCGCAGCGGCACCTCCCTCATGATGCAGATGCTCGAAGCCGGGGGCATCCCACCCTGCACCGACAACAAGCGCACGGCAGACGTAAACAACGCCCGCGGCTACTACGAGCACGCGAAAGTCATGGCCCTCCGCAAAGACGCGACATGGGTCCCGGAGGCCGCGGGCGGCGCGCTCAAGGTCGTCGCCCCCCTCCTGGAGCACCTCCCCGAGGGCCCGCGCTACCGCGTCATCTTCATGGAGCGCGACCTCGCCTCCGTCATGCAAAGCCAGGCCACCATGCTCGAACGCCTCGGCCGCGCGGGCGGCGCCGCGACGGGCGCCGAAGCCCTCCGCGTCTCGATGCGCCGCCACCTCCTCCGCGCCGACCGAACCGTCCGCGAACGAGAAGACATGCGCGCCCTGCACATCCCCTACGAGGCCCTCCTCGAGAACCCAACCCCCCACCTCGAACGCCTCGCGCGGTTCCTGGGCGACGCCTTCGACGCGGCTGCCGCGTCGCGGGTGATCGATGCGGGATTGAAGCGGCACTGAGGGCGCGAAGGGCGGCATCCATCACACAATATTGTGCGTGAACCCGCCCCAGTTTCGGACGTAAGAATCCCGTCCCGCCGAACTGGTTTTCTCGTTTCCATCGCAACGAGCGCGGGGTAAGGTGCTCACCATGCCAGCAACGCGCAACGCCCGGCTGAACCCGCCCACGCGCCGCCGCCATCTGGGCGTCACGCTCGTGGAACTCATCATCACCCTGGGCGTGCTCCTCGTCCTGCTGGGAATCCTCGCACCAACCCTCCGCGGCGCCCGCGACGAGGCCGTCGAACTCACGGGCTTGTCAGATATCAAGCAGAACGCCGCGCTCGTGCACACCTACGCGTCGGAGAACGATCTGTATTTCCCGATCGGAACCGATGAGGACGCACACCCAACAACGGTCACCGGCAGCTGGTGGCGCGTCGTCGTGAAAACGGGCGTCTTGAGCTACGAGGAATACCAGCAATGGGGCGACCGGATCGCCAAGCTCAGCATGACCGCTGCCACCGACCCAAGGCATTTGATCCGCGGTCAGACCGTCGACCCGTTCCTCGCACTCAAGCACATCAAGATCAGAACATCGCAGGTCCGCTCGCCATCCGCCTGGGGCATGCTGAACTACCCGGACTACGTTGATCCCTCGGGTTACGCCTTCCGCTGGTGCTGCAACGACCTGCTCCCGTCTCCCGTCGCGTTCGGCGACGGCAGCGCCGGGATGTACATCTGGCATGAGCTGCTCCCGGATGGCGAGCTCTACATCGAGAACAACATCGGTTACCCGGTGAACACCGCCTGGGGCGGCATCCACGGCCGGAGCAGGTGAACACCATGCCGCACCGAACAGCCATCATCGCCCTCGCCGCCGCGTCCCTCTTCGCGCCGTGCAGCGCCCTCGCGCAGATCCCGGCCGACGTCCTCGAAGCGCTCCGCCGCCAGCAGCAACCCTTCACCGGGACCGTCCGCGCGCACTACCAATCCTCCGGCGGTCGCGGCGGCAACGAGTACGCCTACGACGGCGCGACCGGGGCGCACTACAAAATCCAGAACAACAAGTTCTTCGGCGTCGACGCGCAGGGCAACGATTTCAAGGGCGACGCCGACCGCTACGAGGTCGGCGAGGTCGACCATGTGCGCACGTACTTCGCCGACTCGCTCAAAGACCTCTTCCCCCGGTTCTACACCACGCTCCTGCTCGAGAACCCGGGCCGCGTCACCCGCACCGATCGCCTCGAACACGGCGGCTACCGCTTCTTCGTGGACGACCTGCTCGTCGGCGCCCCGCACCACATGGACCCCGAGCGCGCCAAACTCTGGCCCTTCCCCGCGGGCCCGGGCGATTTCGGCTCCCTCACCGTCGAGACGGACGCGCGAGGCATTCCCACCCGAGTCGTCATCGACCACGGCCCGAACAAGGACGCGATCACCACGCACGAGTTCACCTACGCGCAAGACTCCCGCCCCGAGTTCCCCGTGGCCGACACGTTTTACACGATGAAACTCGTCTCGCTGGAATACACCGAAAGCCGCCCCGAGGAGTTCACGATGGAAGCGGTCTTCCAGCGCGCCCGCGCGTTCAACGCGGAGCACCGGCCGAGAACGAGCATGATGCTCGTCGCCAAAGATGCGCCGATCCAGCTCTCACCGGAGAGCGATGTCACCCTCGTCCCCCAGGAACACCGCAAACAAGCCGAGCGCCTCACCCGCGAATCCCACCCGCACGCACCCGGCCCGTCGTTCCCCCTCTTCGCCCGCTGGCCCCTCATCGTCACGGGCGTTCTGCTTATCGCAGGCGGTGTGTGGTATCGGGTGAAGCACGGGACGTGATCGACGAGGTCATGTCCGTCCCCTTCACCCCGAAAGCGCCATCACCACATTCATCCCATTAAACCCCGCGTGCACCACGATCGGTGCCCACACGCTCCCCGTGCGCGCGTAGCACACGCTGAGCCCCACGCTCAGGACCGTCAGGGGCACCAGCGCCTGCACCGACACGATCGGGACGTGCACGAGCACGAACAGAACCGTCGTCGCCGCGATGCCCGCGGCGTGCGAGCCGGTCATCCGGGTGAGGCCCGTCTGCACGAAGCCGCGGTAGACGATCTCCTCCGTGATCGGCGCGCCGATCGTCACGACCGCGATGATCGCCCACCACGAGGCGTGCGACATCAGCTCGCGGTCCGCGATCTGGCGGAGCGTGCCGTGCGCGAGGCGGTCCGGCGGCTCGCCGCCGAGCAGTTCTGAGACGAGCCCCGCCGCCTGCTGCGCGCCGTACGCCGTGAGCAGGACGAGCGGCACGATCAGCGCGAACGAGATCGCGCCGCAGACGAGCATCCGCCGCTCGAAGACGGCGCCGATACCCGAGACCCGCCGCGCGAGCGACGGGCGCGCGAGCAGGAGGCCCGCCGCCATCGCCAGCCCCGCGCCCTGCGCCGCCGCCCCGGAGATCGCGCCGCGCGTCAGCTCCGTCTCCGGCGTCGGCTCGCCGAGCGAGGCCAGCGCGATCGCGCCGCCGAAGATCCCCGCGAGCCACACGCTCGCCCCGGCGAAGAGGAACACGACCGGTTCCGGCGCCCCGGCCGGGCGCGGGTCGACGCTCGCCATCCTCGCCAGCTTCCGCCGACGGATGGTGATCAGGCTCCACGCCCCCCATGCGAACACCACGCCAAACGTCAGGGCTCCCGTCACCGCGTCCGAACCCGTTCCCTCGGCTATCCTGACGGTTTCGGGCGCGGCCGGAGCCGCCGCGGACGCGAGACACACGGACGGGATCGCCATGGGCCCCAAGAGGACGACAACACTCCGCCAGATCCTCGAGCACAAGGAGCGCGAGGTGGCCGAGGCGCGCGAGCGCACGCCGATCGAGTCCCTCAAGGAGCGCATCGCCGAGCTGGGCCGCCCGCGGAACTTCTTCTCCGCCGTCACCAAGCACGCGACCAAGGCCGAGACCGCGGTGATCGCGGAGATCAAACGCAAGAGCCCGAGCGCGGGGTGGATCCGCCCCGAATACGAGCGCGAGCCGTTCGATCCTGTGCCCATCGCCCGACAATACCACGCCGCCGGCGCCAGCGCGATCTCCTGCCTCACCGACGAGCGCTTCTTCGCCGGCAAGCTCGAGTACATCCACGCGATCCGGGATGCCGTGAAGCTCCCCGTCCTCCGCAAGGACTTCATCATCCACCCCTACCAGGTCTGGGAATCCCGCGCGAACGGGGCGGACGCCATCCTGCTGATCGCGGAAGCGCTCCAGGAGAGCATGCTCATCGACCTCATGATCCTCGCCCGCGACCTCGAGCTCACCACCCTCCTCGAGATCCACGACCCCGAGAACCTCATGCGCGTGAGGCCCCACATCGGCTTCCCGCTCCGCTCCTACTTCCTCCTCGGCATCAACAACCGCGACCTGACGACGATGACGACGGACCTCAACCACACGATCCGCCTGGTCGACCTGGTCGACGACAAGGACATCCTCGTCAGCGAGTCCGGCATCAGGTCGCCCGAGGACCTCAAGCGCCTCCGCAAGGCCAAGGTGCGGACGGTACTCGTCGGCGAGTCGCTGATGCGGACCGAGCACCCGGGCGACGCGCTGAAGGCCCTGCTGGCCTGATTTCAAGCTCCGACCAGAAATTTTGACCCAATCCGGGTGTTCATGGCACATTTGGCGCGCCCAACGCGTCTTATTTGGCGGATTCTTTGAGGGCGGCACTTGATTTCAAATCAGACTTCATGCAGATTTCAGAAACAAAGCACCATCCGCGCTCAATTTCGATCGATGGATTCGGAGAGACATCTGTGCTCCGGGCCCGGCACACCTTTGAGGAGAACCCGTCCATGAGACCCGACACACGATCCGACACGAGAACGACCGTCCGATTCGCCGCGCCGCTCGCCCTGCTGCTCGCGTCCGGGGCCCCGGGGCTGGCCGGCGGCGTGGCGCCCTGGGCCCGCGCCTTCGGGAGCGCGGGCGTCGACGAGACCAGCGCGGTGGGTGTCGACGGCGACGAGATCCTCTTCGCGGGGACGACGCGGTCCAACGGCTCGGGCGACGCGGACGCGTGGGTCGTGCGGACGGACAGCTCGGGCAACGTCCTCTGGGAGATCGCGATCGGCGGCCCGGCCGAGGAGATCGTCAACGCGATGCTCGTGACGGACGCGGGCACGCTCATCGCCGGCTCGACGCGGAGCTTCGGCGAGGGCGGGCGCGACGGGTGGCTCGTGCTCGTTGACGATCTCGGCAGCGTCGTCTGGCAGAAGACCTACGGCGACCGCGACGAGGACAACATCGTCTCGATCGCGCCGTCGCCCGACGGGTTCTACCTGCTCGGGAACATCGTCTCGAACACCACCGGCCTGAGCGACGCGTGGGTGCTCGAGGTCAACGGCACGGGGGACGTGCTCTGGCAGAAGCGGATCCTGGGCGACCGCAACGATACGGCGCGGTGCGTCGCCGCGACGCCGGGGGGACTCGTCGCGACGATCGACGCGCAGTCGGACTTCGGCAACGGCAGCGCCGCGTTCTTCCGCCCGCTCGTCGTCCGGATGGACGGCGACGGCGTGGTCACGGACGCCCGCACGTACAGCGTCTCGGACGGCGACTCGTTCGCGCAGGTCATCCCCCTCGCCGACGGCTCCCTCATCGCGCTGGGCGAGGTCTTCTCCACCGCCTTCTTCCAGGGCGAGGGCTGGCTCGTCAAGCTCGACGACAAGGGCGGCGTGGTCTTCGACAAGCGCGTCGGCAACCACTTCAACGCGCTGGATTTCGATTTCTTTGCGCGCGGCTTCGTCAACGCGGACGGATCGATCACCGTCCTCGGCTCCACCGGCACGGGCGGCAACGGCTTCGCCGCGCTGTGGTTCGCGCGGTTCGATTCGAGCGGCAACCTCATCGGCGACACGACCTACGGCGGCCCGGGCTTCGATCTCGGCCTGGCCGCGGCGCCCTTCGGGACGGACGGCGTGGTGGTCGGCGGGCGCGTGCAGCTCGCGCCGCCGGAGGTGGACGCGGTCGCGATGCTCGTGAGCACCGACGGCTCGATCGGCGAGGAGTGCATGGTCGAGGGCCCGACGCAGCCGCAGACGTTCGAGCCGGACGGCCTGCCGATCTTCGCGTTCGACGCGCCGAACCTGGGCGAGAGCGCCACGTCGGTGCTCGCGACGAGCAGCGCGGGCGTGGTGACGCCGCTCGCCTCCGGCTTCCCGCTGTGCGGCGTCGGCCCGGGCGTGTGCCTGGGCGACTGCGACATGGACGGGCGCGTCGACTTCAACGACCTCGTCTCGATGCTCTTCGAGTTCGGCCAGGTCGGTTTCCCGGCCGAGTGCGACACGGACGGCTCGGGTCGCGTGGACTTCAACGACCTCGTCGAGGCGCTGTTCCTGTTCGGCCCGTGCCTGGACTTCCCCGGCCCCGAGCCGGAGTGATCGCCGGCGAGTATCCATGAGTGATGCCCGCTCCCCTGAAACCCCTCCGTTTGATCGGAGGGGTTTTTTCGTGGCGCGCGTCTTCGCCGGGCGCTCGTTCCGCTGTGGTACAACACGGTTGAGCAGTCCGAGCAAAGGAGACCCGCCCATGCCCACCACCGTCCACGCCTACGCCGCCCCCGAAGCCGGCGCGCCGTTCGAGACGTTCGAGTACGACCTGCCCGATCTCGGGCCGCACGATGTCGACATCGCGGTCGAGCACTGCGGGATCTGCCACTCGGACCTGAGCATGCAGCAGAACGAGTGGGGATTGACGGCGTACCCGTTCGTGCCGGGGCACGAGGTGGCGGGGCGGATCAAGTCGGTGGGCGAGCACGTGAAGCACCTCAAGGCCGGCGACCGCGTCGGGCTCGGGTGGCACTCGGCGTACTGCATGACGTGCGACTCGTGCATGGGCGGGCACCACAACATGTGCTCGGACTACGAGCAGACGATCGTGGGTCGTCACGGCGGCTTCGCCGATCTCGTGCGCGCGAAGGCGGAGGCGGTGTTCAAGGTCCCGGACGAGCTGGACCTGAAAGAGACCGGGCCGCTCCTGTGCGGCGGGATCACGGTGTTCAACCCGATGGTGCAGTTCGGCGTGCGACCGACGGACTCGGTCGCGGTGGTCGGCATCGGCGGGCTCGGGCACCTCGCGCTGAAATTCGCGAACGCGTGGGGGTGCCACGTCACGGCCTTCACCTCCGAGAGCAAGATGCAGGAGGCGAAGGACCTGGGCGCGCACGAGACGATCGACTCACGCGACCCGAACGGCGTGAAGTCCTGCGAGGGCCGCTTCGACTACATCGTCTCGACGGTGAACGTGAAGCTGGACTGGAACGCGTACATCAAGGCGCTGTCGGCGCGGGGGCGGATGCACTACGTCGGGGCGGTGATGGAGCCGCTCGATCTGGAGGTCTTCCCGCTCATCTTCGGGCAGAAGCAGGTCTCCGGATCGCCCGTCGGCAGCCCGAGCACGATCAACACGATGCTCCGCTTCGCGGCACGCCACGGGATCGGCGCGACGACGGAGCACTTCAAGATGAGCGACGTGAACGACGCGATGGAGCACCTGGAGTCGGGGAAGGCGCGGTACCGGGTTGTGCTGGATGTTTGAGGAAGGCACCGGGCACCGGGCACCAGGCATCAGTTGAGGAGCGCCGCTGCGCGGCGGACTTGAGTTGGCCCCTCATCCGACCGGCTGCGCCGGCCACCTTCTCCCGCGAGGGGAGAAGGGGCAGATGTAGCGGCCCCGAGCTTGAGTGGGTGAAATGGTGGTGCGCGAAATTTGTGGGCGCTGTTCAGGATTCGAGGCGGTGCTTGTTGGAGTGCGACCTTTGGTCCGCTCGCTCCCGCTCGCGGCTGCTGTGCCGCGTTGTGCGCGCACACTCACGGCGCCGGAGAAGGGGGGGCGCCGCGAGTGACTCGTGAGGGATGAGCGCGTCTCCCGCAAGGGGGAATGGGGAGAGGCATTTGTGTTCAGGTCCGATCCCTGGCTGAACCTGTCGGGGTGGCCTGGGGCCTCCCACGTGTGTGTCCTCGGCAACCTTTGGCGGGGACAACGGGGTCAATCCCGGGGCGTGGCGGGATATTCCGATTTCCCATCGAAGGGTGAAAAAAACTTCTCGTGATCGCTCGGGAATCGCGTTTACGCGTCCTGAGCGGCCCTGATCGCCGCCTGCGCGGCGGCGAGCCGGGCGATGGGGACCCGGAAGGGGGAGCACGAGACGTAGTCCAGCGCGATGGAGTGGCAGAACTCGACCGATTTTGGGTCGCCGCCGTGTTCGCCGCAGATGCCGACTTTGAGCGCGCTCTTCGCCGCACGGCCTCGTGTGGCGCCCATGGCGACGAGGGCGCCGACGCCGTCGGCGTCGATGGTCTGGAAGGGGTCGCTCGTGAGGATGTCCTTGCGGAGGTACTCGCCCAGGAAGACGCCGGCGTCGTCGCGTGAGTAGCCGTAGGTGAGCTGGGTGAGGTCGTTGGTTCCGAAGGAGAAGAAGTCGGCGACTTCCGCGATCTCGCCCGCGCGGAGCGCGGCGCGGGGGATCTCGATCATGGTGCCGATGGCGATGTCGAGCTTGCCGGTGAACTTCTTGCGCGCCTTGGTGAGGGTGATCGTCTCCTCGATCTTCTCGCGGAGCACCTCGAGCTCGCGCCTGGTGCCGACGAGGGGGACCATGATCTCGGGCACGGCCTTGATGCGCTTCTTCGCGCAGGCGATGGCCGCCTCGACGATGGCGCGCACCTGCATGACGAGGATCTCGGGGTACGTCACGGCGAGACGGCAGCCGCGGTGGCCCAGCATGGGGTTCATCTCGTGGAGCTGGCGGACACGCTTGCGCACCGTGGCTGGCGAGACGCCGAGGGTGTGCGCGACCTCCTTGATGGCCTTGTCCTCGTGGGGGAGGAACTCGTGGAGCGGCGGGTCGAGGAGTCGGACGGTGACGGGCAGGCCCTTCATGGCGCGGAAGATGCCGATGAAGTCCTCGCGCTGGTAGGGGAGGAGCTCGTTGAGCGCGGCCTCGCGATGGTCTTTGGTTTCGCTCAGGATCATGCGGCGCATGGCGGTGATGCGCTCGCCTTCGAAGAACATGTGCTCGGTGCGGCAGAGGCCGATGCCCTCGGCGCCGAACTCGCGGGCGCGGGCGGCGTCGCCCGGCGTGTCGGCGTTGGTGCGCACGCCCATGGTGCGGGCGCGGTCGGCCCATTTCATGAGGGTCCGGAAGTCCTTGGAGGGCTTGGGCTCGGGCATGGGGACGGCGCCGAGCATGACCTCGCCCGTCGAGCCGTCGATGGAGATGGTGTCGGTCTTCTTGATGGTGCGGTCGCCGACCTTGATGGTGCGTTTCTTCTCGTCGATGTGCATCTCGCCCGCGCCGGCGACGCAGCACTTGCCCCACCCGCGCGCGACGACGGCGGCGTGGGAGGTCATCCCACCGGTGGAGGTGAGGATGCCGACGGCGGAGTGCATGCCCTCGATGTCCTCGGGGGAGGTCTCGCGCCGGACGAGGATGACGCGCTCGCCGTCGCGCGTGCGCTCGACGGCCTCTTCCGCGGTGAACGCGGGCTGGCCGACGGCGGCGCCGGGCGAGGCGGGCAGGCCCGTGGTGAGGATCGTGGCGCCCTGCTTGCTCTCGTCGGTGAAGGTGGGGAGAAGGAGCTGGGTGAGGTCCCCGGCGGGGACGCGGAGGAGGGCCTCGTCCTCGTCGATGAGCCCCTCGCGGACCATATCGCAGGCGATCTTCACGCCGGCGGGGCCGGTGCGTTTGCCGGTGCGCGTCTGGAGCATGTAGAGGTTGCCGCGTTCGACGGTGAACTCGATGTCCTGCATGTCGCGGTAGTGCGCTTCGAGGGTCTCGCGGACGTCCATGAGCTGGTCGAAGACGCGCTTGTTCCACGCTTTCATCTCGGAGATGGGGCGCGGGGTGCGGATGCCGGCGACGACGTCCTCGCCCTGGGCGTTGACGAGGAACTCGCCGTAGAGCTCCTTCTTGCCGTTGGCGGGGTTGCGCGTGAAGGCGACGCCCGTGCCCGAGTCCTCGCCCATGTTGCCGTACGCCATGGACTGGACGTTCACGGCGGTGCCGATGAGCCCGCGGATGGAATTGATGCGCCGGTAGGCGACGGCGCGGGGCGTGTCCCAGGAATCGAAGACGGCGCGGATGGCGAGCTCGAGCTGCCTGTTGGGGTCCTGGGGGAAGGCCTCGCCCGTGTGCTCGCGGTAGACGCGCTGGTACGCCTCGCAGACGTCGCGCATGCCGCGCTCGTCGAGGTCGGTGTCGAGCCTGGCGTTGTGCTTCTTCTTGATGCGGTTGAAGGCGCGCTCGAAGTGCTCGTGGTGCACGCCCATCGCGACGTCGCCGAACATGTTGATGAGGCGGCGGTACGCGTCGAAGGCGAAACGCGGGTTCTCGGTGGCGACGGCGAGGCCCTCGACCGCGGCGTCGGTCAGGCCCAGGTTGAGGACGGTGTCCATCATGCCCGGCATCGAGACCGCGGCCCCGGAGCGGACGGAGACGAGCAGCGGGTCGCCGGAGGTGCCGAAGCCCTTGCCCAGGGTCTTCTCGAGTTTGGCGACGCTCGCGCGGACCTCGTCCATGAGGCCCTTGGGCAGGGCGCGTTTGTGCTCGAAGTAGGCGCGGCAGGCCTCGGTGGAGATCGTGAATCCGGGGGGGACGGGCAGGCCGATGCTGGTCATCTCGGCGAGGTTGGCACCCTTGCCGCCGAGGAGCTGCTTCATCTTTCCGTCGCCGTCGGCCTTGCCCTTGGCGAAGGCGTAGACGTAGCGGGGCGCGTGGCCCTTCGCGGTGCGGGGCTTCCTGGGGCGTTTTTTCCGTGAGGCGGCGGGCATGCCGTCGGTCTCCTTGATCGGTCTCGCGTGCGAGCGGCGCGTATGATCCGCTCGTGCCAAGCATCGCACACATCGGGCCGTCGTCCAAGCCGGGGGCGAGTCGCATTGTCGACGAAATCGACGCGGTCGTGCGCTGGCCGGCGGATCGGCCGCTGGCGTGCCTGCTCAGCTCGGGGGAGTTGAACGCGTGGAACCGGTATTCGGTGCTGGCGAGCCCAAGGGAATCGGTCTCGTTCGATCCGGCGAAGAGGCGGACGATCCGTCGTGATTTCGCGACGGGCGAAACGAGCGAGGCGGGGTTCTCGCACGACCCGCTCGAAGATCTCACGCGATTGCTGGGCGAAACGCGGGGCGACGGGGCGACGATCGCGCCGGGGTGGATGGGGACGCTCAGCTACGAGCTGGGGTTCGAGGTGGAGCCGAAAGCGCGGATCCGTGATCGCGACGGGTACCGTTGGCCGCTGTTTACGCTGCTTCGTGTCGAGGGGGCGCTGGTGCTGGATCGGGCGACGGGGGCGTGGTCGGTGGCGGGTGACGCGGGGGCGGTGCCGGAGTTGCTGGATTCGGCGCGCGAGCTGCCGTTTGCGTGCTCGCCGTTCGTGAGCGCGACGGGCCAGCGGGCGTATGAAGACGCGGTCGCCCGGGCTGTTGCGTACACGCACGCGGGGGACGTTTTCCAGGCGAACATCGCGCACCGGCTGGATGCGGAATTCGAGGGGGAGACGCGGGGGGCGCTGGTGCGGGCGCTGGCGGGGACGCGACCCTGGTTCGGGGCGTACATGGAGCTACCGGGGGAGACCGAGCGGGCCGTGCTCAGCGCGTCGCCGGAATTGTTTCTCTCGATCGATGCGCGCGGACGCGTCGTGACGCGCCCGATCAAGGGGACGACGGGGGACGAGCGGGCGACGGGGGCGCTGCTGGAATCCGAGAAGAACGCGGCCGAGCTGGCGATGATCGTGGACCTGATGCGGAACGATCTGTCGCGGGTGTGCGCGCCGGGGACGGTTCGCGTGACGAACCCGCGCGAGCTGGAGCGTCACGCGCACGAGCCGAGCATTTTTCACACGACGGCGACGATCGAGGGGACACTGCGCGAGGGGAGGACGCGGGTGGACGCGCTGCGGGCGGCGTTCCCGCCCGGGTCGATCACGGGGGCGCCGAAGGTGCGGGCGATGCAGGTGATCGACGAGCTGGAGCCGGTGGCGCGGGGGGCGTACACGGGGTCGGTCGGGTTGTTCCCGGACGACGGGTCGATGAGGGCGAGCGTGGCGATCCGCACGGCGAGTTTCGAGCGCACGAGAACACGGGCGTGGCGGGCGTCGTACCACGCGGGAGCGGGGATCGTCTCGGATTCGGTCCCGCACGAGGAATGGCTGGAAACACTCGCGAAGGCCGGCGCGTTCGTGCGCGCGCTGGGGAGCGAGATCGCGGAGACACCGTGAGCAACGACACCGGGTACAGGCCGTTTACGGGCGCGGGGTGCACGGTGCGTGCGGACGTGGTGGACGTGTACGTCTTCCGCAAGGTGGAGGGGGGCGTGGAGTTTCTGCAGCTCAAGCGCTCGTTCGAGCCGCTCGCGGGGACGTGGCACCCGGTGATGGGCCACTTCGAGGGCGACGAGACGGCGGTCGCGTGCGCGGTGCGCGAGCTGCGGGAGGAGATCTCGCTGGATGCGCGCACGGAATCGGGCGTCCGCATGTGGGCGCTGGAGCAGACGTACCCGTTCTTTATCCACCAGATCAACACGGTGGTGCTCTCGCCGCGGT